GAAAAAGGAATCAAAATAAAATGAGTTGGATAAAACATAAATGGTGAACAAATTTTGGAATGAATTTGATTGGTGTAACCCATTAAAATCTCAAATTTTAAAACCAATCTTGCACGTTTTTTTGTAACATATTCCTAAATAATTTGGATAAGAATTCAAATTAATTCTTAAATAATTTTTTAAAAAAAAAATATTGTAAAATTGAATGTAATAAATGTTTTCCTAAATTATTGGATTGCTATTTTTAATAAATATTAATTATATATATATATATATATATATAGATATGTCCATTCCATTATTATAATCTTTAAAAGATTTATAATAAATCCAAAAAAAATAGATTTACTAATGATTTATCCGTCACTTATTAAAGATCTTTAATTTATAGGAATTCATGTATGGAATGCACTTCTTTCCTAAATAATTTGGATAAAATCCAAATTAATTCCTAAATAATTTTTTTAAAAAAAATCTTAAAATAGTATGTAATAAATGTTTTCCTAAATTTTGGATTACTATTTTTAGTAAATAGTAATTCTTTTTATATATATATAGATTCTTACTACATATGACAAAAATTTTAATATTAAGTAAGTAGATAATATTATAGTTAGACTACATTGTGCATTGGAGATAATTTTCTAATTTCATAGTTGTTAACTTACCGATTTTCCTACAAAGTTCACAATTCATTTAATTTACTGACAGTTGTTAAAAAAAATAAAATAAAAAAATTATAAGCATTGGAGATGCACTAACTTGTTTTATCACAGTACTTGTTACGCATCAATGGATATATATAGTTATAAACAAGTCACTCATGTTGGTATAAAATTTCAATTAACTAGTGCTATAATTAGAAAACATATTTACCCAAATAAAATTTGATGAATCTCAAAATTATGAGGATTATCAAAATGTGATCTTACATATAAAAAAAAATTGGGGAAACTTGTATGTACCGTGTTAGTGGGTCCCACAAGATAGGTTAGTGGAAGATAATTTTGTTAGAGTGGAGATAAAATATAAAGGGAAAAAAAGAATTTCACCCCAATATAAAGACACAATAAGTTTTTCACACCGTCCAATAAAAAGCTAAGTTTTTCACCCGGAAAGTGCGAAGGTTATGCGAAAACTGTAGCATCTTCATCGCATAACTGTCGCATATGCGACAGTCATGCGAAAAATTGTCGCATATCAATTGCATAACTGTCGCATATTCATCGCACAATGCCTTCGCACTTTAACCTTTTTTTTTTCCACCAGAAAGTGCAAAGAGTATGCAAATGCCTTCGCACTTTAACTTTTTTTTTCACACCAGAAAGTGCAAAGGGTATGCGAATGCCTTCGCACTTTTAACTTTCGCACAATATCATCGCACAATGTCTTTCGCACTTTCTGAAGTGAAAAACTTAGTTTTTTATTGAACAATGTAAAAAACTTAATAAGACTTCAAAACAGAGTAAAAATAGCTATTTTCACAAATATAAATGTGATCATGGTTTTTGAGAGTTAGGCCAAGCAGCAGAATGTGGCTAAAAGGGCAATGGGGTCTATTAGGGAGTTGGGCCAAGCAGCAGAATGTGGCATAAGGACAATGGGGTCTATTAGGTATCTTTAGATTCCCCTTTTTAAACTGTTGTCCTAGAATACAATTAGTTGTCTCAGGGTGGAACTAGGATTTTAAAATAACTAGGGTTAACGAAATTGCAATATCCAATTCGTTCTAGATTCAAATCGGCAATTATAGTGTCATTACTAATCTTTTCGACCGACTCTTTCCAATATAAAAAACGATTGAATCCGCCAAATTTACTGATCGGAAGAACTTACTTACTAACCAAATTTACTATCACCAACACATTTGGTGTACCTAAACAAGTAACACAACAGCATGAGAGAAACATAACTCGTCCGTAAGAGCTCACTTACTAACAATGTTTTGGAACCTAGACTACAATTGACCGTTATGTCGATCGCAATAAAACATTTACGCCAACTCGCAAAGTTCAGTAACAAGCGATGATATGTAGCAAAAGTAACATAATATAAAACCGGATTCATCATGCTATACGAGAAAATAGGATTAACAATAGCCGATGTATAAAAGATGGGGACTAAATAAGATCTTCAAACATCCAAATAACTCTCTTCTCCAACACAATTACGTTATCAAAATAGGACAGGCAACCATAATATTTCAGTAAGTTCGAAACATAACAGAGTTTTAGACGATAGCATTCGCAGCGCTAGCAATCCTCGGCCATAGATCAGCACACTCCTTCCCAATAGGTCCGGTTATTGCTGAACCTGCACAATCACAATATAAGAGAGAATATAATGATATGAAGAACAAATGAAAAACTGAACACTTTAAGAATCTTTATGACTCAATCATCCAAATGCATCCAATACAGATTTAACTATAATAATAATAATAAATAATCAAGAATGTATTTACCTTTCATTTCACCCTTGGGATTCACAATGACACCAGCATTGTCTGCAAAAAAAAATGAGTAAATTTTTAGCAGCAATAATCAGAAACTCAAAATCTAAAAGGCAACCTAAGAACTACACATTGAACTGTAAACCTTAACATATATCCAGTAAGCTCAAAATCTCACCGATTCAACAGGAGAAACTACAGATACTATACCTTCGAAGTACATGTAAACACCGTCCTTTCTCCTCCAAGGCTTGCGCTGGCGGACGATGACGGCGGGCATAACCTTCTTGCGGAGATCGGGCTTCCCCTTCTTCACGGTGGCCATCACCATGTCGCCGACGCAGGCGGAGGGGAGCCTGTTGAGGCGGCCCTTTATGCCCTTAACGGATATGATGTACAGGTTCTTCGCTCCCGTGTTGTCGGCGCAGTTCACTGTCGCCGCCACAGGCAGACCCAGCGACATCCTGAACTTGTTACCCGCCGATCCTCCGCGTCCTGCGAAATAAAGGAACACGCCATTAATTAAGTTTGCTATCAGACCAGGTGAAAATGGTGAACTAGGGTTTGCGTGAAGGAGATCTCGCACCTCGCTTCGACATTTTCGACCACTCTGCAGCTCAAGACTCAAGGAGAGAAGTAGATGGCGTGGCTATTTTATACGGTCGAAATGGGCTAGGGTTTTGTCGAAAATAGTGATTGGGGTTTCATGGGCTCGATTACAAATTGGTCTAGTGTGATGATTGTAAGCCTTCCGTTTGGGCTTTAAATTTTTAAATAAAGCCTCACCTTAATTATTGTTGGCAAGTTGAAAAATAATAAAAAAAAAAAAGTGTGAGAAAAATTACACAACTCACATATAAGTTCCATTTATTTGTATATTTTTTTTTAAAAAAAAAATATTTTCAATTGCAATTATACTAATTTTTTAAAAATTACACAACTCATATATAAGTTTGATTTATTATATATTATTAAAATTTTATTTTCAATTGCAATTACACTAATTTTTTTGGTTTATCAATGGTTGAGTTCTGCTTTATTTCTGTCATTGAATTCTAAATTGTTTCATTTATTGTCTATGACTTGTATATAAATTCATTATATATGACTTAATTTTAAATGTCGTATTAATGTTATAAAGATGTGTAGTAAACATGTAAGAGGGCCATCATTTAAAGTCATGTTCTTTAAAAATAAATAGTTAGTCAACTCTACTTAGGAATAATTGAACTATCATCGTAATTTTTTTATGTTTGTTATAGTTTCGAAAGTCATTGTTTGTTTCGATCATCGTAATTTTATGAATGGATTTGGATTAGGCGAGTTTATAAATGGATGTGAGAGGCTCCTTGGCTCTACAACTTGGGTTGGGCCTACTTTTTCCTGTTTGCTCTACTCGGGCGGGATTAGTTGTCTTTTCTTTGTGGACGGCGACCGCGTGATTTGGGATTGGGCTGTAGTTTTTTAGTGCACTGGCTCCTTCCCTTTATCACCGATGGATTGAGCATTCATCTTCTCCGGCATTTTTAGCAAATTCGTCGATGGTGCCATTTGCGTTTCTACTGCAGAAACTTAACTTAAGCGTGTAGTTACAATCCGCAAAATAAAAAGGCTCTCCATTCCTTTCACGAACTTCGGGTCATGGAATGTCGCTGCAAAATTTATTGGAGACGCTGCGGTGACGCAGTTGCAACAACACGCGCATGTGCGGTGATATGCGGTTGTTCTGTCTGCCGTTGTAGGTGAACGATTCATCGCTCGTTGACGCCTTTTGGTATCGAATTTTCAGAAAAACAGGAAAAGCAAAAGTTTTTTGATGTATATGTTCACAAGTTGAAAATTGTCTCCAAGCAAATTATGGAGTCATTCCTCTAGCGCCAAAATGTTGATATAAAAAATTCTATCAACACCGAGATATCTTTCGAATTTTGTATGAAAAATGAAGAATCAAAATGATCATAAATGAATGCTCTTTTTCTTTTATGTTTTGGAAGAATTTTTTTCTTCCTTGGAGATTCATCCTCCTCCAATAATTGAGGCCATTCCCCTCATATCCCCAAACACATTGGCCCTGTATACTAAAATAATACAAACGACATTTAATGTGATGTGACCGTGCGAGTCCTTTTGTTGATAATAATGATGCTCGTTGGAGACGGCTTCTTTACGATACCCGGGTCGGCCGATTACTTTAGGTTCTGCTCCAAAGTGTACGCATTTGACATTTGCGGACTTGATCGGTCAAAATAAACCTAGTCGGTATCTGGGGGTCAAATTGGAAAACATGTCGTTTATATGCTCATTTTATGGGTATTTGATATAGCCACACTGTCGTATAACGGTTCAGACGTTACTGAGTCGACTTTTGGGGAAGTCGACTCTTTATTTATGAACCTGTAATCTCCCCAATCTGTAAGGACCCAAATGTCTATCCCAGTCGATTCTCGAACGTCGACTAGCATTAAGTCGACTCCCTCAGGAAAGGACAGGCGCTTCGGTATCCACCAACGATTGAAGATGGTCTAGTCGATTCAAGTAGATATACCGAGTCGACTCATGATGTCTCGAGACTCGTAGATCCACGACGACTCCAATGAATTTCAATATATCATAGGGAAGTCCATTAAGGATAAGAAGGAATCTAGATGCTGACTAGGAGAGGGATGGAATACGGACCGACCAGGGCATTTTGGCCATTTACAGTAAGTCGGCCGGGGCATTTTGGGAACTTCAGGTAAGTGTCTTGCTCCTATATAAAGGAGCTGAGGTAACCCCGAAACCCTAACTCCCATTCATTCTATACTCTCCTCCATTACTGCTGGTGCTCTATCAGAGCAGCTCTCTTCATATCTTTCACATACTGACTTGAGCGTCGGAGGCTCTACGCCGGAAACCCCTCCGACGTTGAGTTCTTGCAGGTGTTCTCGCAGTCCAACAATGGTTCTAAGGCGATCGAGTCAGATCTGAGCTCATTTCTACCGGTTCATTTCAGATCTGAGCTTGTTTTCATTGATTCACTCCAGATCTGAGAGGAGACCCATCATTTTGGTGCCGTCTGTGGGGAGTTCTTGAAGGAATTAAGAGCTTTACACCTAGCTTTGATATGTCTCTGATGGCTGAGAAGGAAGGGCTACAAAAGAATCTGAATGAGGATTTCAGGGCAACATGGACTGACAAGCGGCCTCCGCCGATTCCCAATCCCAGGCCACCGCTCCAGATGTTTGGTTTTCCAACGTTCGAAGTACACGCGCCGCCAGGAGGGCTTGTGGGGGAAGAGACGCCTACTACCCCACCTGGAGTCAAGATCCCTGTGCTTACCCAAGGAGGGGCCAGCCACGTGAAAAGCATGAGCGGAGAAGTCAACGGTCACGAATCAATCGAGACACCTTTAAGTTTGGGAAAACAGCCTGGGTCACTAGAGTAGGGAACAAGGCCACTACCTCAATTCGAGGAGCAAACATTGACCGTGACGAGAAGTGAGATGCAAAGAATGATTGCAGAAGCAGTAGCGGCCCAAATCAAGCAGACGCTAGTCGAACAACCTAGGGTCGAGCAACCCAGGGTCGAACAAGCAAGGGTCGAGCAACCTCAAAATGGACAACCACCCCCTGAGCGCGAACAGCAAGCGCAGTCACATGAAAGGCAGAGTAGGAGAGCAGACGAGGAAGAGTCCTCTGTCAGAATTGTCAATCCACAAGCAAGGAACGACACTCTAGGGCAATTGCTAGCTCAGGTGCGAGATCTACAGGCTCGTGTCGAGGGGAGAAAAACAGGGAGCTCAAGAGGACACCACTTTTCGCAACATATTCTAGACGCCGACTTGCCTCAAGGGTTCAGGGAGCTTAACATCTGGTACGATGGGTCGACTGACCCCTCTCGACATCTAAGGAGTTTTGAAAACATGGCGGTACTGCACCGCTACAATGACCCCGTTCAATGTTGAGCGTTCTTGACGACTCTGCGGGGACCTGCGCAAGACTGGTTTCATCAATTGCCCCAGGAGCCGTCAGGGACTTTGACGGATTTAGCTCAAGTTTTCTAAATCAATTTGCAAGTGTGAAGGCCCAAGAAAAATCTTACCTTACTCTGATAGGCATGCAACAGAAGGAGGGAGAATCATTAAGGGATTACGTGGCGAGGTACACGCGGGCATGCGTCGACGTCCCCTCAGCCACTGAGGAAATCAAGTCGGGCGGACTCACTAGAGGGCTCCTCCCAGGATTGTGCAGAAACTCCTTAGCAAAACGGCCGAGAAGGACATTCGACGAGGTTTTAGAAAGGTGCGCCAAATACATGAATGTCGAGGAAGTCGAAGCCGACTTTCTGCAAGTGGCTAAAGCAAAAACTGAATTCCGGGACGAGAAGAAGGATAAAAACCAATCACGGCGGTAGAGAAGAAGGGATCCCCGAAGCTAGAAAGGGAGGGGCGGTCAAGGGGATGGAGGACGACTCAGTACACGCCCCTGTTGGCCTCGAATGCAAGGATATTGGAGGTGATGGAGAAGGAGATTTGTGAAAATGTCGTTAGGTGGCCGCGGACGAGAAATGATGAACCGACAAAGCCCAAAAGCAATTTGTATTGCCGATTCCACAAGGATTATAGGCACAACACTGACGACTGTAGACACCTCAAGGACGAGATTGAGAGACTAATCAAAGTCGGCCACCTGAAGGAGTTCATTTATAAGGATCGAGAGAGAACTAGTCGGCGAAGGGAAAGAAGTAAGAGCCCCCGCAAGAGGGCGAGAACACCCGACAAGGAGGAGCTTCCTCAGAAAAGAGGAATAATTCATATGATATTCGGAGGGCCGACTGATGGAGATTCAAATCGAGCCAGAAAGGCGTATGCTCGAGGCCGCCACGTGAAAGGTGAAGTGCAGCAAGTTGAAGAGAACGGTCCAGTGATGAATTTTGGGCCAGCAGATGTGGGAGAGATCGAGAGACCTCACAATGACGCTCTGATGATCACCGCTCAAATATCAGGCTATTAAGTACAGAGGGTCTTTGCCGACACATGGAGTTCGATAAATGTAATCTTCTATGACTGTCTCAAGCGGATGGAGCTCGACATCGAGCTTGAACCTCTACACACCTCACTTTTCGAGTTTAATGGCTCAGAGGTCGCACCCCTAGGAGAAACCACGCTCGCTGTCGTTCTAGGGAAGGCGATTTGAGGAAAGTAAAGATGGTGCGATTTGTTGTAGTAGATGTCTAGTCGGCTTATAATGTGATTCTGGGGAGGCTGGCACTCAACGCATTCCAAGCAGTAGTGTCGACTTACCATATGAAGTTAAAGTTCCCCATTTGAGGACAAAGTAGGGGAGGCTCAAGGAGACCAAAAGTTATCAAGAACTTGTTACCAGATAGCAGTAAAAACAAAACAACGAGCAGAAGTAAAGGAGGGAAAAAAGCCAATATCGAGTGAAAAGAGACCAAGGGAAAGCGACCTAGAGCCGCATGGAGAGTTGATGGAAATTCAAATCGGGGAAACAGAGGAGCAGACCACCAAAATCGGAAGAGGGTTGGAGGACGAATTGCGTAGACAATTGTTGGGATTGTTGAAAGAATTCAGAGACATATTTGCCTTTTCCCCCGAAGA